CAGTTAGGTATGAGTCTTCCTAAAGGTTAGAAAAACTTTTAAAATTAGGGAGCTTATCTTTTAGGATATCTTTAAATATTGACCAAACTCGTTGCCACTGAGTCGATTCTGATTCACAGTAACCCTACAGAACAGAGTACAACTGCCGCACAGGGTTTCCAAGGAGCGGCTGGTGGATTTGAACTGCTGACGTTTTGGTTAGCAGCCAAACTCTTCACCACTGCACCACCAGGCCTCCTAAGTATTGACCAGTGTTTAAAATTTGACCTATCAAATGGAAATTAAGTAATTTGGCAAAAGAACAAGCCTATCTGAAAAACCTATACTGAGTGTTCTTACTCCCTATTAGTCACTAATTTTCCTGCTATTGCTCTTCCTTGTGTTTGTAGTAGCTTCCCTCATCACACAACTCTTATCTTTTAGCCAAAACAGCTGAAATTTAAAAGCAAGCAAATAATTATATAACTACAACAATAGCATATAGAATGGGAATGCTAGACTTGAAATGAAAAGGAAAGGGTGGAGCCTTAAGAGTCTAAGACATGCATTACTAGGTCTAAAACAGAAGATAAAACATCTTATTTAAGTTGAAAAAACTAAAAGGAGTATCATAGCATATACTATAACACAATGCAAAAAGAGCTTCATATAATAAATCCAGGTTTTATCAAAAGGATTTTTTCCAAGGACAGTCACATAAATAATCTTAGAAACTGTAATCCCATAATACCACTAGGAAGATGGATAATTGGCTATATACTTGGTAAAGATAAAAAGCTAAAAATAGTATCACTAATTATTTTTAGGAGCAAACTAGATAACATGCATAAATATTAAAGTGAATCCAAGTTTTAAAGACAACCATTAAATAAAAACAAAGCATAGTTACGACAGGATAATAAAAATAAAAAAAATTAAATTGCACGGATGGAAGCAATTGGATAGATACAAGCACGGAGGAATCTGGGCATACAAATAACATGAATTAACATGGTGTTATTTTAAAAGACTCTGATATTGTAATAGATTAATGCAAATGATCTAAGAGCTAAGATAAATTAGTATTACTATAATTAGTATTAGCAAGTCCTTCTTAAACTACTTCCATAATTGTATGATAGGACAAAACCAAGGGTTACAGATGTTCTATTCTTGCTTCTAAGTCCTAGAACATAGCAGGCACTTAATAAAAATGTATTGGCTATATGAATATCATTAAATAACCACTTGGGACTTCAGAACCAAACCATAAACCTGAATTTAAAAAGTGTGCCCTAGGTTATCTCAGTCATTTGTCTTTACCTTAAAAATATGTGGGAAATAATGATAGATCCTTCAACTCCTAAAGCAGTATATATAGTCCCAAATCAGAAAAGTCTTGTATCAGAGAGCTGAAGGGAGCTCAAAGTTACTGAAGAGACAAAGCAGGGAGTCATGACCTTTTCAGAGGGGGAAATGGAAGCTTTAAAAATCTTGAAAAATGGACACAGAGAAATTAGAAGAGATGTGGGTATTAAGAAGTCAGTCCACTTAGGAAAAACTGGGAATTAGGTTTATTTCACTGGAAAAGCCAATGATGAAATGCGGTAAGCTTCGAACACTACTGAGTCAATTTTTTCTAGCTCCTAGTGTAGAGCAAGGAGTCAGAATGTCCTCACAGTTTATGAAGTTATCAACCATCTGCAGAATTCACCAAGCTTTTGAAATATACTAGGTTACTGTCATTCTACACGATGGACCACATTAGAATATTTGATACTATTCTCTAGTTAAGAAGAATGAAGAAATAAGGTATAGAATAAGAGAATGCTGAAGTTCTATTCCTTTAGAACGAAGTTAGAGAAACTCAGTGTTTTCCTTTATTCTTATTAGTCAAGCTTTGGTTTACTAAACGTTTCAGTAAATTAATGCTAACAGTAATTTCTTATAGTTTCAACTTTTAAAAAGACTAATTTTTTTACCCTGAAAATATGGAATGGGACTGCTTTTGGATTTGAAAGGTTTTTATCTTATCATCTTTGTTTCTAAAAACATCACCAATCAACAGGGGGATTAAAAGTGGGACAGAAAGTGATAGGAATTACTTATTTTTTTAAACACATAATATAGAAACGCTTTTCTATTGACAATCAGAAATGAGTTCCAATAAAGTCTTAGAAAACTTTAAGCAGTAATCCTAGTTACTGAAGGAAAAAAATCCTCTGATTAGATAAGAAAACAAAATATTATTATATAAAATTCCCTTTTCTTTTCTGATAAGAGTGAAGAGATTGCTACCTGGCCTTGAGAAAAGAAATAATAAAGTGATAGTTAAACTTTACTATAAACTGAAATGATATCTGGCTTTTAAACTACTCTTAAAATAGAATTATCACTTAGTTAAGACTCTTCATGTTAAAAATTAATAAGAAGCTTTTAAAAAGGCAATTAACTTCTAGATTTATGGTAACTACTCTGTAATGTTCCTTTAAAATGAAAATATGCATTTAAATGAACACACTTAGCAGAAGGTTCTTTAAAGAACATTAGCATTTTGCTAGTGAGATGAATCAATGACAATGAAATTTTATCGTCCTCGGGAAAAAAAAAACGAAGAACTATACAACAAAAGCAATGATTGGAAATCCTAAATTATTTTCTATTGTCAAGAGAGTCTATTTAATGATTTAATTTTTCCACAGAATCAGCAATCACTAGCACTTCCATGGAGCGCTGCTGGCGTAATGGAAGAGTAAGTCTATGAAGACTTTGAAATTACTTGAAATTTTTCCTATCCACTCTCAGTTTTGAGATGTGATGATCCATGGCTCTAACAAAGTATAATTTTTAGGAAATCTGCAAGAAATCCATGTTAAAAAACAACAGTGGACCTTGAAAGCATCAGCTTTTGTCACTTTATTGTTAACCAACGAATGTTATCCAAAATTATAGATGTTAATTGTAATTTAATTCTACAGCAGAAAATTATGCTAATGGTAAAGCCTGTTGGGATTTACCAAATAGTCATGAACATATTTTTACATTACTATATGAACATGTGCTCTCACTGCTAGTGATAAAAGTTATAATTGGTTTAACCACTATGAAAACCCATATTACAAATGGTTGTTCCTGTTTAGAAAAATTCACACAGCTTTAAAAATGGATTAAATCCATTTTAGTTCTAATCTACAAATAGATTATAAACAGCAAATATAACTGGTAGTTTCTCAACACTGATATCAAACTGATGTAGCAATGGTAGCACACACAATTCAAAATGAAAATTAATAAAAATCCAATGGAAGTCTAGGTTATCACCTTTAATGGCAATTGCTTCAATGCTCTGGAAAAGTGAACACTTGTTTGAAAGCTTGAATCACAGGGTTCACCATCTAGGGTTTGAAGTATCTGCGCAACCACTGTACAACAGTCACTACAAAGTTAACCAGTTACCTTTTGTCCTGCAAAGTTCAAAATATATATTAAATGCAACCTTTCCTTTCCATAATGTCTGCCCAGATTAATCCTTTTAACGTAAGCAAAATCAAAAAAAGCGCAAGAAATATTTTCAGACATAATTTGAACCTACTGCGCATGAAAAATGTTTAATAAAATGGCAATTTTAATACATAAATGTAATCTGAATGCATAATACCAAATGGAAAGTAGCTGAACCACACAGAGAAAACAAGGCTTTCCTTATCTTCAAATCTAGGTGTTTTAAAATAAAGAAAATATTAGAACATGTTAACTGGAAATATTTTTTTCAGTAAGACATAACTGAAACTAACATAACCTAAAAGTAAACAATTCTAAAATAGGACTAACAAACCAAATTTAAGTATTCTTAGAGATTGAAAAAAAATAAGCACGATGATTCAGAAACCAAATATGCTAAAATGATTATGTAATAATTATATCAAGAAGTGAAGGTACAGACATTCTTCATACGCCACAAGGGCAACATCTCTTTTCATTCTCTCTCTCTCTCTCTCTCACGCGGACACAGACACACACACCCTCAGACAGACAACACCCCTCCAGGAAAATAGTATACCAGTGAGAGTTTACAATTTTAATACATATCAGAGTCCCACAATTCAACTCAACAAAAAGGCAGTTAAGAATTTTAGCACTCTAAGGTATTCTGAAGAAAAATGAGACAGTAAAAATATTCCTTCATGACTAAAAGTATTACTATGTATTATAAAACATAGAGCTCACACACTCCATTGTATTTGAAAAACCAGTCATCGCAGGTGTAGCAGTGAGGTAGTATATACTGTCCCCTCCTTGGGACTACTGTTTTCATATGCTGTCCTTCCAGAAAGATCCAGGTTTTTCTTAATGATTAAAATCAATTCCCAACAAATATTTATTTTCTTTTACTCAAGCATCTGTTTTTCTGAATTAATCTATGAAAGAACAGCATTATTCAAATCCTCCAGAGACAACTGTTATTTGCAGGTAGTGTTTTATCAATAAATTCTCCTATGGAACTGCTACCTGCTGTCTACATCCTTTTATGAATCAGCCAAGAAAACCATCAAAGGATGTCAGGAGATGAAACACCAAATGACCCAGCTGTCAAAGATGACTGTAGTAAAGTAAGCAAGTACCAAATTTCCAATAATTGGGATTTTAAAAAAATTAACCACCAGTTGCACACTACACACTATTAAAATGTTGTAATCCTTTTCATGATTCATAGCCACCTTCTACACAATGATCAAAGACTGTCCACCCTTCCACCTACCCTCGTTTTAAACAATGCCAATGATCTGCGTGATGGCAGAATTATGGCTACGGGCATGGCAGGATATGAGAAGGCGCACTGAGAAAATGTGGGTGAGAGAGAATGTGGAAGGGGCAAGGGAAAAGAGAGTACTCTAAACACTTGTTAAGTCATCATTATTCTTTAAAAATGTTCAAAGTGCTCAAACCACACATACACAGTTGTCAGACATGATAATTAGTGTTAATATTCAACAGAAAAAAAATGGAAAATGAAAAATGTGAAAGAAGGTGATGGAACACTGTTCTCCATTCCCTGGCCCAAAAAAAATAAGAAAAGAAAAGAAAACCAAGCATGACATCACACTGCCTTAATGCTGAAGAGCTCCCCTTAAATTTGTCCCTTAGCCACCACAGTCAAACTGGTATAAGTGCTTTGGCAAGGTGGGATGCATTCCATCACATCTGCAAAGGCCTGCTTTTCTCTGTTGTTGGTTCAGCTTATGAAGAACATGTATGCAAAATAACGCTCTCACATTGCTTCAAACTCATCAATACGCTGCTTTGTATTGCCTTGTCGAATTTGTCGCAGAGTCTTGTACTTATCACGGCCTGCTTTAACATTCTCAGCATGAAGAACATCATTTTGTGTCTTCTTGGTTTCATCTCTGGCTTGGGCCAATTCTGAACTTAATGCCTATATTTGAAAAATAAAAAGTACACTATTTTTTTTCTTAAATTTTAGAAACTTAGAAAAATTTACTTAGATACAACAATAAACAATACATATATACCAAATCTTTGACATTTTAATATATTAAAATCTCAATTGTAAAATATTTTTCTTAAAGTAAGTTTACTTTTAGTAATGGCAGGGGATACCCACAGCCTTTCATTTCTATTCTACAATCATCAACTATGTTTGTATACTCTTCTAAATTGGTTTAATTAACTTTCTCATCCAACACTTTAAGTGATTTATAGGTTTACTGTAGCCATGGCACAAGCCCTTGGGTGTTGCAAAAATAACACTTTCGGTTGCCAACTGAAAGGTTGGAGGTTCAAGTTGACCCAGAGATGCCTCAAAAGAAAGGTCTGGCAATTCACTTCCAAAAAATCAGCCATCGTAAGATCCTATGGAGCTCAGCTCTACTCTGACACACATGGGGTTGCCATGAATAGGAATGAACTCGATGGCAACTGGTAGCCATTACAGAGTGATGTTACTGTACGATCTAAAATCTATACCATGAGAGCTTTCTCCAAAAGTCTTAATATATTTATTACAACTATCACCTTATTTCTTTATTAATATTTAAATATTTCACCAATTCAAAAATTATCTGGAAAAAAGCGCTAGCAATATTAAAATTTCCTATTTTGATCTAATTATATAATTTAATAAATTGGCCTTTTGCTATTATAAAATCTAGACAATTCCGATTACATAACATCTTAAAGGTAGTCTATTAAATATCATTGTTTTTCAATGTACACTTAACTGTTTAAAAAAAAATTCATTCTTTTTTTTTTTTAAACACACCATTAATTTCTACCTTTTAAAATGGGCCAGGCTATAATTTTAAACAACTCACTTGTTAAGTCTTGATTAAACAGAAGCTAACAAACATTTGGAGGAAAGGCCTGGCAATCTACTTCCAAGAATCAGCCACTGAAAACCCTGTGCAGCACAGTTGTACTCTGACACGCATGTAGTTCCCATGAGTCGGAGTCGATTCAACAGCAAATGGTACTAGTAAACATTGGCTCATTTGCTAATGAGTTCAAAGAATAGATGAAATGAGTGCAGGTCAAGCCCTCACAAACCAATCACATGGCCATCCAGTGTTAAAGGCTTTCAAATATCATACCTTCCGTTTCAATACATTTGCATGAATACATGGAGAAATGCAGGCTATAATTTAAATGTGCATACAACTGCAAATTTTAAGTACCTGGAGCTGTTTTTTAACACGCTCATTTTTCTGTGTTTCTGTTACGCGTTCTTCCTCGCTTCTATGGTTCATTACCCCTTCATTTGATAACTCGGCACTAGCCTCAGCATTATTCTCATCATGTTCATCGTGCTCATTTTCTGTGGGAGCAATGACTGGTGGTGGCGGAGGTGGAGGCGGGGCAGACATCACAGTTTTTAACTCTTCTTTGGTCTTTTCCAAGTCTTCCTGGGCCGCAAAAGCCTGAACATTAAAAATAAGTTTATGAACAACTTTCTCCAAAAATTGGTAATTAAAAGGAATGAGACAAGCCTTTATCCTGCCTTCTAACAGTTGAAAGTATATTGCAGGGTAATGAAAACAGACTCTACTGATCAAAGTTATATTTTTATAGAGAAATGCCAACAAGTAGAAGGAGTGACAACTAAAAAAAAACATTTTCCAAATTCTAATAAAATAATTCCACCACCCATTGGTGAATGTATTGTACTGGGGTGGCTTGCATGTTGCTGTGATGTTGGAAGCTATACCACCTGTGTTTCAAATACTAGCAGAGTCACCCACGGTAGACAGATTTCAGCAGAGCTTCCAGACTAAGACAGCCTAGCAAGACAGGCCTGGCAATGTAATTCCACATATTAGCCAATGGAACACAACAGAACATTGTCCAGATTGCTTGCTTGCTCTGGACATGCCACAGAAAGGAACAATCACTGGAGGAAGGCATCATGTTTGGTAAAGTGGAGGGCCGGTGAAGTGGAGGGCCAGCAAAGTTGAGGGAGACCTGGTGAGATGAAGTAACCCCAAAAATAGACTCAAATATGCTGGCAATCGTGAGGATGATGCAGACCAGGCAGCATTTTGTTCTGCTATACATGAGTCAGAGTCAACTTGAAAGTAGCTATTATCTATCTAATAAAATTATTAGTTCTGACAAGGATTATCAATTTTTGCTAAAACCATTAGGTTGGTGGGAAATAGATATTCACATAATGTCAAAGAATGCCACAGCCAATAGATTACTTTTTAGCCACAAGGGGAAAAACACAACCAGACGATGGAGAAATCAAGACTGCCACTATTCTAATCCAATGATCAATTAAAACTCACTAATGGTGGGTTAACGAGATATTAAATGTCTTCTGATAGACTACAACATGAAGCATCCAACATTACCAACGATTTGAGTGATCACAGTGTCCTGGTTTGCCTGGAGAAGTCTTGCTTTACATAACGTCCTGATGTAATTATTAACAGCCCTTTCCTTGCAAAGTGTGAAGGTTTGGATGGTAAATTATATGGACATCCTACCTATGATGCATCTTAGCCAAAAAGTTTGAATTAAACACTCATTATCTTACATGGCCCACCCCTCCAATGAATGCCTGATTTTCCATTTGTGTTCTTCAGACAATTGCAGTTTCATCTACTTAGAAACTTCTATTAGAAATCTCAGTACCGTATTCATTATATCTCTCTTATTCAACTTCACATCCAATTATTTGGTTGCCATGCTCTTTTGAGTCTACCACAAAATACGTCTCAACACTTCCTGCTCCTCTTTATTCTCTGTGTCATATCCTTTAACCAGTTACCAATGAGTCGACTCCGACTCATGGTGACCCCATGTGTGTCAGAGTAGAACTGTCCTCCACGGGGTTTTCAATGGCTGTAATCATTACAGAAGTAGATTGCTAGCCTTTCTTCCGAGGTGCCTCTGGGTGGACTCAAACTTCCAACCTTTTGGTCGGCAGCTGAGCATGTTAATCGTTTGCACCACCCTGGGACTCCTACTATATCCTTAGTTTAGATCTTAATCTCTTAAGTAATCCTAACCACTATCCCAATCCATCCTTCACACTGCTTTCTAAGTTATATTTATAAAATCCTACTTGATTATGTTACAATCCTGTTATGAAATCTTCAGAGCCCAATGTTACAGATACACCTCACTTAACCTCCTTACCTCAGCAGACATTTAAAACTTTTTACAACTTAACTTCCTATGATATAACATTCCAGCTACATTTCCCAGCGTTTCTGAGCATATACTCTAAGCACTGGTCACTTACTGGTTGTCCTCAATACTCAGTGAGTATACTTCCTATACTCATTCAGTTCCCTCTGTCTGGAATGACTACCTCTTTAGTACCTACCCACTCCTGATCTTTCCTATCCCCCAAACCTAATTTATTATTAAACCTAAAAAGGTTTCCCCAACTCTACCTCACTACCACAGAAATTAATCATGTCGTGTTTCCAAAGTGCTTAGCTTATATCAATAGATATACTACAATACACACATTCATACACGTTTTCCTATCTAAATTGTGATAGTATCTTAGATTCACCTCTATATTTCAGCATACTGCTGTGTACAAAATAGGTATTCAGTAAAAATCCTAGTGAATTAACAAATAAATTACTTTGTGTTGCCACTCAGTAGCTTCCTCTTCCTTTTTCTTCTTGGCTTCTTCCAGAAGTGCAATCTTGGCAGTGAATTCGGCAAGTTCTGCTGCCTAAAATAAACATAATTACCAAGATTAAGAAACTTAACATTATTTTCAGTAACCGTGTGACATGTTAAGTCAACAAAGGTTTAATGTACATGCTTGGGCTGTTTAATATGATGTTTTTCTTTGATAGTCTTCCGTTTTAAAAAAGGCAACATTTCCTTAAGCTCTTACATAACTGCACCATAGGGTTTCCAAGGAGAAGCTGGTGGATTCAAACTGCCAACCTCTGGTTAGCAGCTGTAGTGTTTGACCACTAAGCCACCAGGGTGCTCTAATTTATAGTACGCCCTTCAAATGAGCTAGTAAGAAGACAAAGTGAAAAAAAGTTTATTATTCTATAAACAAGTACTTAATCCTATTTCAGAAGCAGGAACTTTACAATGAGTAATTTAGGAGCTATTCTTTTTTTTTTTAATTTTATCAATAAACAAACTACTTGCTAAAAACTACTAAATAAAAATTTATATTTTCACAGGGCTTTACAGTTTAAAGAACACTGTCAAATAATCCATGTGATTCTCCAACAATCCCATTAGGTGGCATTATTCCTTTCTTCAAAGGGAGGGAACAGAAACTTAGAAAGACCCAAAGACACACAGCAAAAATATGTGAACCAACATTTAAATCCACGATCATCTAACGGTCATGCCTACTCCTTATTACATGAAATTCCACTATACAAACAAAAAACCCAACCAATTATGGCCTATAGTTATCTCACAGGAGCTAGAATTAATTGTGTTAATTTATCTAAAGCAAAACTTACCCATTAGCTTATCAAAGAACCTGCCCAATGCTTTAATCAGAATCTTTTGCTGACAACAGTCTCCATTTTATAAATAAATTACAAGAAAAAAACCTTTTATTGCTTTATATACGCACACACACAAAAAAACCCAAACCCACTGCTGTCGAGTCAATTCTGACTCATAGCAACCCTACAGGACAGAGTAGAACTGCCCCCACAGGGTTCCAAGGCTGTAAATCTTTACGGAAGCAGACTGCCTGCCACATCTTTTCTCCCGCGGAGGTGCTGGTGGGTTTGAAACTGCCAACCTTTTGGTTAGTAGCTGAGAGCTTTAACCACTGTGCCACCAAAACTCATCTTGTTTTATAGAAGCAGAAAAAATTTTTTTAAAGCTTATTTCCAACACTTCATTGTTAAGTTATTTGTATCTTTGATTTGCTTTCCAGAAGGTTTAATATACTTAGTTTTAGAAGATTCAGTCTGCTTTTATTTAAACTTTTCTTTTTCTCTAAGACAGGTTGCTTACTAGCTGTTCCTGATTCTTCATCTGGTCAGCAGCTTGTTTTTCTATAGCAGCCTTGGCCTCTTCAGCAGCTTGACGCTCCTTTTCAAGCCGTTCTGCTTCTTCTTTTGCTCTTTTTCGTTCCTGGTCCAGCTCTAAAGATCTTCTAGTCTGTTCTTCTAGTTCTGTCAAATATATGTTTGTATCCCCCAAAAAATAATTAATTCCAATTATTCTAATTATCAAAAGTCAAAACAGTAGCAAGGAATCTAATCTGTAGTTTCTAAAAATCAGCATATACACAAATGCACAAATACCTCATTTTTACTTTGGCAAAAGTCTAACCGTTAAAAAAAATCTGGTACACAATTAAGAAATGGGAAGAAATTAAAATTCTTTGTAATCCAAGTAAGTCAGAAAGTGAAAAGCAATAACTTTATTTCTAAAAATGATCTCTCCATTTAAAGTTTTGACCTTAGTAAACAATTGGCCATCTGCTTCAGAAATCTGTATCTTAAAATTTATATAGGTTTTTACTGATCTAAACTAAGTATTAGATAAGTAAACCAAAGAAATTAAGGTTGAAAACAGTATCTACTAACCCAAAATAGAAATTCTGATGTGTATTATCTGAATTTTTGAAAATTCTGAGTTAGTTGTACATATGGCATAATGAAAATAATTGGTATTTGGAGATGAATGACATATATTTTACCCTTTATGTGTATAGATCATAAGATTAATTCCCTTTTCTTATTCCAGTGAGTTGAACTCCAAAAGAAATATTCCCACGAACCACCGCTGTTGATTCCAACTCATGGCGACCCTACAGGACAGAGTATAACTGCCCCAAAGGGTTTCCAAGGCTGTAAATCTTTATGGAAGCAGACTGCTACATCTTTCTTATACAGAGTGGCCGGTGGGTTCGAATCACCGACCCCCACACACACCCACAACTACTACTTTTCACAACATTATGCTTATTTCCTTCATAGCACTTGCTACAAAAAAAATGATTTTGTTGTCTATTATTCTGTCTTTCCTTAATAAAATGTAAGCTGCATGAGACCAGGCGCCTTATCTATTCAACACTGTAACCCCGATACCTAGGACAGTGCCTAGTACACACTACATGCTTAATACGTATACAAAATGAATGGAATCATTATATCTCAACTCTTTTCTATCGTCTTTTTGAAGGTGGGAATTTACTTCAATATTTGTTGGAACAGTCACTGAATGTAGGCCTGGCCATATAATACCTCAAATATAGACACCAATGTATCTTAAAGCTGATTAAACGAAAAAAAAAAAGATAAATGAAATCAAATAATTTAACAATGATTATGGAAATGTAAAATGGTAGATTGATTCTATTTCATGAGTTGTGATTTATCTGAAATAATGACTTCAATAATAAAATTTAACAGAAATGACAATGAAGTATAGAAAAGTTTCTTTAACAAAAAAATTACAGGTTAATCTACCTACTAAATATCATGACTTAGATATAGCCATAGTTACTGCATCTGGATGAGAATTCAGCATAAATTACAAGACAATTACACAGAATTTACGACAGTCTGGGAAAGCTTTATTATTTGAAATTAAAAGCAAAAAACAAATTGGATGCCCTTTGCCTTAAGATGACTGATTCGAAATTATGTCTTGATAAGGATGTTCTATATTCTTTCTTACATTCTATCTTCCTTATATTCTTTAATGCTTCTTTGCTTGAGGAGTTTTCTGTATGTATATCAGTAACATTTTTATTATACATCCTAAATAAATGAGATTGAAAGACTTAGTAAGTAGCTATTCTCTCAGAAAAGGTGTTATGTAAATGAAAAAGTGCTATCATTCAATCTTTTCTTTAAAATCAGAGCAGTATTATAAATTTTCCTAAACTTTCCTTTTTAACATACTCTACAAATAAGAGATTTTTTTGTTACAGCAGTACTCGTCTAAAGTACTGTTTACACTACTCATATGACAGAACACGCTACCTCGTATTATTAGTATATATATTTATATATCTTATTTCTGTCAACGACACAGACTTTATATACACTCCTATGTATCCTATATGTTTGTGTTATTAGAATGCTGCACAAAATAAGCACCTTATAAATGTTTAAATTGATAGATTTAAAAAAAAAGAAACCTAAAGTGGTAGAAATAACATCAAGTCGGATTTCAGGAAATAAGTCTGCCCTTGAGTGGTGGACTTCAAGCCAGTCTCTGCTACCCTGGGTCTTTGAACTAAATAGTTTCTAGGTCTTCTCTAGTTCTGAGAAGTGAGGCTCCTAATGAGTTGGAATAAAATTCAGGATTTTTCTATATCTTCTCTTAGAAATACTATTTCCAATCCGCTTGGAATTAAAATGGTAAACGAGTTTGTGAATTAATAGCAATCTTTGTGACTTCTCTCTCTAGCTACTCACATGCAAAATTATTCTATCCACTGCTCAAGAGCATCTCCCTAGCCTGGTTTAAGGAATAAAAATAAACTTTATATAAAACTGGTGGCTATTTCTAATACAAACAAATGGCTGATTCTACTAAATTGGTATTAAATCTAATTTTATAAATAGTGAAGACTTCATGATAGCCCTTGAGATCCTACTGTTGGAAGAAGCAAAATATCTTACTTCTTGCTCAACATATTTTTGACTTTTGCTCTCCCCATCTCCCTATGATTTGTTGTTTGAAAATAGTAAATAATAAAGTTACCAAATATAAACCACACTTTATAAATCCAACGTATCTTGTCTTTACATTGTAGCATCTTCATTACAAACTGCCCAGGAGGTAAGTTCTTCCCAACATGTTACCAGAAGAACAAACAAACAATAAACAAAACACTATGTGTTGTATGTTTTCCAACAGAGTGAAATCTAATCTTTTTCAAGGGTTGGGTTCCTGAGCCAATTTTTAAAGTTTATGTAGTCACCCGAAAAAACTGCTGCTGTCAAGTCAATTCTGACTCATAGTGTACACTACAGGACACAGCAGAACTGCCCAAAAGGGTTTCCAAGGAGTGGCTGGTGGATTCAAACTGCTGATCTTTTGGTTATTAGCTGAGCTCTTAACCACTGTGCCACCAGGGCTCCTTATATAGTCACAATTATCTTAAAATTCCTTAAAGTACCTGAATGTCCATTTATTGCAAAAAATGCTTTTGTTTAAACGCCATAAAGCACTGAATATGTATTTATGTTTATGAAACCCTGAACAATAATAAGTATAAATATATAGTAACAACATATAAAAGGACAAATGCAAAATATTTGCACGTTTAAGTAAACGAAAGAGAAAGAACACACGAGTACTGCATAGTTGATCTGCCTTAGGCAAATATGTTTTTAATGTGACTCTGTTAAGTATAAATTTGGAAAAATAAAAGGCAATTATTCTATATAAGACAAATAAGAGTTAATAGTAGTAAGAAAACTACAATATGACAGAGCAACAATTTTGAATCCTCTGTCAAAAAGAGACATTTACCTTTCTGGGCTTTCATTGTCTGTTCTTCAATTTGCCTTAAACGTTCCATTAGTTCTTCCTTTTCACGTTCTATTCTTTCCTTTTCCTTTTCTGCTATTTCTCTTTTCTTCTTCTCATTCTCTAATTGTGCCCTTAAAAAGAATCACAATTGCTCTGTTACAAATTAATAAAGAGAAATATTATTCATGTGAAATCTGAGTACTAAATGTGAATCAACTAAGAAGAAATAACAGTATAATACCGGTTTGTGATGGGCTGCTAACCTAAATGTCAGCAGTTCAAACCCAGTGGCTCTGTGGAAAGCCTGGTGAACTGCTCCCATAAAGACTACAGCCAAGAAAACCCTATGGAGCAGTTCTACTATGTAACACGTGGGGTGTCACCATGCATCAGAATCGACTCAATGGCAATAGGCTTGTTTGTTTGTTTGAATTATATTCAGTTGTGTTCAAAGTATTGTTTGGTTAAAAATATAGGCTTATGTTTTATATAGGAGCTCTGGCAGTGTAGTGGTTAAGCACTTAGCTGCTAACTTTCTGTGGGAGAAAGATGTGGCAGTCTGCTTCTGTGAAGATATACCCTTGGAAAACCTATGGAGCAGTTCTACGCTGTCCTATAGGGTCACTATGACTCAGAATCAACTCGATGGCAACAGGTTTGGTTTGGTTTTTTGGTATGCTTAATATATATTTATATGTGTATATACACAAGTGCTGGATTACAGTGTATTTCTTATTATGGAGTCAAAAATTATAAGCACAAAAAGAACTGCAGTTGCCATACCAAGAAAACGCCCTCTTTAGTAGGAGCCCTCTGCTAGGGAAAAAAAAATGGCTTGAATGGAGCACACAAAGGTAAATGCCTTAAAAGTAAAAATAACCTGGAAAGGCAACAATTTTCAATCAATAAATTATTTTTTTTTTAAAATTATAAAGATAAATGAAGTTCTGATACATGCTATGACATGGATGAACGTTGAAAACATTATGCTGAGTTTAGTAAGTCAGACACAAGAGGACAAATACTGTATGTTCCTACTTATACGAAATAACTAGAATAGACAAATGCATAAATACAAAAGATTATTAGTGGTTACCAGGGGCTGCGGAGCGGAGAATGGGGATTTATTGTTTAAGGAGTGACTGAGTTTCTGTTGGAACCCTGGTGGCACAGTGGTTAAGTGCTAGGCTGCCAACTGAAAGTTGGCAGTTTGAACCCACCAGCCACCCTGTGGGAGAAAGATGTGGCATTCTGCTTCCATAAAGATTTACAGCCTTGGAAACCCTATGGGGCAGTTCTACTCTACCCTATAGGGGTTGCTATGAGTTGGAACTGACTCGACAGCCACGGGTTTGATTTCGTTTGGTTTTGGTTGGAGTTTCTTTTGGGGTAATAAAAAGCTTTTGGAAATAGTGGTGATGGCTGCACAACACGGTAAATGCAATTAATATCACTGAATTGTATACTTAAAATGGCAAAATTTTATATATATATATATATAATATCACAATAAAATATTTTTTAAAAATGAATTATACAAGTTTAATTTCTCAGGTAGCACCCATTTATGTATAGATACAAGATTACAAATCAGTTTTATCTCAGCTGACAATTCTATTAGAATAACAGATGTCTAATACTGTTTTTAAAAAATCATGATCAGTTTAGTGAGAAAGAATGCCTTGATCTTTTAGCTGCATCTACCATGGCCTTGATGGGACCACTTCTTTTAAATATAAGCCAAATTCATTCATTAAACATCCATCAAGAGCCTACCACAGATAAGACTCTATGTTGAGAAAGAGAAATACAAAGATGAGTAAGAAAGACAGAAACTGTGTTAATCATCAGATAGTATTGTTTAGTTAATTATATAAGTATCCATAAGTTTAATCACTATTTAATCATTACTTTAATGTGAATATTTTCTTTTACTAAAAAATAATCAATTTAGATTTCATCTCTGAAACTCATCTGAATATGCTTAAATGTTCCACAGAAAGACATCATGGCTATCTGGTGTCAACTCTGAATTTTAGGCAAAAAGATATGTAGTTTTTCAACTGTCACTTTCAGAATAAAGCCTCTTGTGATTATGCTAAACCACTGATGTAAATATTTGTATTTAGAGTATGGGTTTGGAAACAGTCATTCTGCCTAGTTGTTCTATTTCAAAGACATAAATATCATATCAATAAACTATCAATTCTCTGTACTAAAATGCAAAAAATAAATTATTTCAGAATACCAAACTTAAAAAAAATTGCAAATGAGTCCAACTGCATTTTTCTTGAGTTAAAATTAAAAACTATATTCAACTGATATTCAGACATATTAATATCAAGAGTTATTATCATCGCTAGTGTTTATTCAGCACTAGTAACTTTGCTAAATGTTATTATTTCTCACAAAAACTCCAAGGTAAAACTATTATTTTCACATCAAAGGCAAGGGAACTGAGGTTCAGAAGTTATTTGTCCAATAGGATTATTTGTTGGAAGACGATTCAAACCCAGATTTATCTAGTTCCAAACTTTGTATGATGTCCAGCTGCGTCCAAGAAGGACAGAGCATCCTGAGTGACATGGGTAGACAGCTATGATACAGAATCTCTCATAACTAACACCAGTAATTGGTACATGACTATCAAACTCCAAACCGTAAACTTGAGGCTCTCAGTTTCTAAATCTGGTAACAATTTTAGCCATATAAAAATGTTCAGGCATAAAAATGTAAGTCATTATTCATTTTGGATGCAAATAACTTAAGAGCAAAGATAAGAGGGAAAACAACCCATGATACATAGGATCATATTCACTGTCCAAAGACCAGATAAGAGACCTATGGGGAGAGAATATGGTGGCCACATATACCAAGGTATTGTGAAAGAAGCCTCCTTGTTACCCTTTTCCTACCACTGTTACTGCCTAAGAGATTCCAGCAGCACCAGCAGCATACCTCTGCATTCCCCCATGTATGTCTGCTGGCTACTTTGCCAATGGGCTTGACCAAAACAGTTGCCCTTTCTCTCTCCCTGACCTGTAAAGCAGGGAGAAATGAAGACTTGGCATGCCATTTCTGAAAGATTGCCAATCCCTCTGTGGCTAGAATAATATAAAACATCCTCTACATATTCAAATGAATTAAACAGTCATTGAATTCCTGCTGTGTCTGAGACAGTCAATAAATGCTTGCTAATGAAAGGTTGTAAAATTTATCCAAGAGAAGAACCAACCGATTGTTACTGTACCAAAAGAGAAATTTAAAGTCTTCCACTTTTGTCGAGGCCTTAGAGTAACTCAGAGTAAATATAGCACCATCACCAAATGGTACTTATTAACCATACTACATACTCTAGAAGCTATACAGCAATCCTCTTTATGTGCCTGAGTGATGTCTATGAGATACAGGAAATGTACAGAAAATAATTTCTCATTTAACTCATGCTGGAAGATTTTTAAAGAGACAGTGGAATCTTTCAAAAGGAGGAAAAGATAACAAAAAAAGACTACAAGAAGTTTCCCCTTTGAGAAAGGTAGATGAAAAGGTAATGATGGATAATAGGCTATGAAGGATAAGAATATATGAAGTCCATGCTGCCTATATACCCACACATGTAACAAACCACATAGGGGGCACAGTTACAGAGGCTTCCTAGACATATCCAGACAACTCACAGGACTGGTTTACTGTGTCAAAACGCTTGGGACCGTAGTCTAAAGGGACAACTTAGTCAACTGGCATAAAGCAATTCACAAAGACAACGTTCTACATGCTAGTTTGGTACTTAAAAGCTTGCAGGCAGCCATCTAAGATACAACAAACTATTGGTCTCTACTCGGATGCAGCAACAGAGAATGAAGGAAATCAAAGGCTCAAAAAAGAAACTAGTCCATAGGACTAATAGCCCAAATGAATCACAGCCTCTTCTAAACTGAGACCAGAAGAATGAGACAGAGACTGGCTACCACTACCAACCGTTCTGACCAGAGACACAATAGAAGTTCCCAGACAAATGTGAGAAAAATGTAGAACGGAACTCAAATTCCTAAAAAAGGTCAGACCTACTAGACCGATAGAGACTAGAGGAACCCCAGAGACTATCGCCCTAAAATACACTTTGAACTTGGAATTGAAGCTATTTCTGCAGGTCACCTTTCAGTCAAATAATAAACTAGCTTATAAAATAAACATTACCTTTAAGTAATGTGCTCCCTTAAACAATTAACTATATGAGACCAAACAGTCAACGTTTACCACCCCCAAAAAAAGTAAAGAGGAGAAGGCAAGTAGGCGAAGGGAAGCTAGATTAATGGAAACAGAACAAACAGAATGGAAATAATGAGAATGCTCACATACTGTGAAAACTGTAACCAGTGGGATGGAACAATTTGTATAAAAATTGTTAAAAGGGAATCTAATTTTCTGGGTAAACTTTCACCTAAAACACAGTGTTATTTTAAAAAAAGAATATACAAAGTCCAATAAAGAACTGTTTTTAAAAAGCATGTAAGACTAGAACCACAATGTAATCCTAAATCACATGAGAGTAGTTAAGAAAGGGTAGAGCCCAGTCAAAGTAACAATCCAACTTAATATCTTTAATGGTAAGATCAGCAATTACTACAAAGCTCGCATGCCTAAGTAAAAGATGTTTTCATTCACAGACAATATGAAGGGAGCAAAATGAATTAATATCTGAATTACACAAAACATTTAAGAAAAATATGTATCATTAAATACAAACACTAAAAGTGTAAGTAGCAAATGTTATCTAGCAGAGAACCTATTTAATTACTAAATACAAGCATGCTATTTCCAGTAACATTTTTTGATATATTTAAAGTTCTTTAGTTTTGGTTCTTTAGGATTAACTCTATTTCTTAGATTATTATATTGTTCTACAAAGATTTCCTTGATAACATTTGATCTCTAAATTTTTTTCAAATTAAGTATGAGGTCTAAATTAATCTAAAATCCAATTTGGGAGTTACGTTTCTGGACCCAGTAATCTGGTTCCAGGGTTGATGCGGATTTTATTAAATATCTTTCCATTTCAAAAACTCTCAATTTAGTGTATTGAATAGTATATTTTTTGAAGTCTAAAGGAACCATAGTTAAAAAGATTAGTGTCTTTGATAAGTTATCCTACTCTTTTCGGGTGAGTTCTACAATATCACTAGCATTGTTTCAAAGTAAAATATCCAGCACATTCTTATCCTGAAAAATTAAAAATATCTGTCAAAAGCAAAACAAATCAGAAAAATTTCGAACTAATACATCTCAAAACAACGTGTCAGTGAAAAACAAGCACGATAAAAGAAAAGCACATCTGTGAATTTATGAAAAACTATTTCTCACAAATATGTCAAGATTTGTAACTTGAAAATTATACATCCTCACTTTTTAGTGACAATACCTTCTTTCAACTTTAAAATAATGAAAATAATGCAGAAATGCAAATTTAGAGTAATTTAAAGAAACTGAGTAGTCTTAAACTTTAGATACCCCTATTCCTATCAATTAAGAATAAAGGACTAAAAATTCCATACCTTTCCAACTGCTTCTGATGCTTCTCCTCCCTAGCCTGGGCCTTCATCTGTTGTACTTCAATAGTATCAGGCTTCCTTCTTCGCATGTATAGTTCATGGTTTCCCATACATAAAGCCAAAATCCGCTTATTGATTCTTAGACGAGGTGCATAAAAAACAAAATCCTAAACATAAAATATTCTCTATTAAAAATCTTTGTGAAGCACAGTCTCTTACACAAATTTGTATGAAATTTCAAATGTGGTATGAATTCTAACATCACATTACACATAGTATAGAAATCATAAAATTTCTTAACTCCTGGTGGCTATGCCATACTTTCATATAACTGGTTCCTCACCTTTCACACCCAACCAGTTTTGTAAGGAGGTTAATATTCTTATCCTCTCAATCCATTAAATGAAATTTATTCTTTTTTCCCCTCCGAAAGTAACTAAGAGCACCTGTTCCTAGTAAGAGGCTTGTTTTGTTTTAATTTTTGCCTTTTGCCATAAATCTCAAAAATGATCTTTTTTTCATGGCTGTAGAGTTTTTTAAATCAAAAACATTCTTATCTTTTTGTCTTTTCAATAACTAACAGAGTTAAATACTAACATATACCTGACACTAAACCAGCTGCCACCGAGTCAATTCTGACTCACGGTAACGCCATGTGTGTCAGAGGAGAACTGTGCTCCATAGGGATGTCAATGGTTGATTTCAGATACAAATCACCAGGCCTTTCTATCTAGTCTGTTTTACTCTGATAAAACCTGTTCAGCATCATGATGAGCAACACACAAGCCTCCACTGGCAAATGAGTGGTGGCTGTGAGTGAGGTGCACTGGCTGGAAATCAAACCTGGGTGTACAGCATGGAAGGCAAGAATTCTATCACTGAATTATGACTTCCCTCATACTTGATCTTTGATGTATTAAAAAAATCTATTTAAACATACCTATCTTATATTTTGTAGCCCTTGTGGCACAGTGGTTAAGACCTCCGCTGCTAACCAAAAGGTCAGCGGTTCGAATCCACCAGTCGCTCCTTGGAAACCCTACAGGGCAGTTCTACTCTGTCCTATAGGGTTGCTACCAGTTGGAATCGACTCAATGGCAATGTGTTTGGCTTTTTTTGTTTATCTTATATTTTAATTTCACTTTTAGGAATTCTGAACATTAAAAATTTTATAATTTTTGTAAAAAATTCTTGTAAAAAAAAAAACTAATCTCAAAAGAAAGGTCCAGTAATCTGCTTCCAAAAAAGATGAGCCATCCATCGAAAACTCTGTGGAGTTGAGGCCAACTTGATAGCAACTGGTAAGTAATAACTGTCTTAGTTATCTAGTGTAGCTGTAACAGAAATACCACAAGTGGATGGCTTTAACAAAGAGAAATTTATTCTGTCACTGTCTAGGAGGCTGTAAGTCCAAATTCAGGGCGCCAGCTCCAGGGGAAGCCTTTCTCTCTCTGTTGGCTCTGGGGGAAGGTTCTTGTCATTAATCTTCCCCTGGTATAGGAGCTTCTCAGCACAGGGACCCTGGGTCCAAAGCATGTGCACGCTCCTGGCTCTTCTTGCTTGGTGGTAATGAGGTCCCCCTGTCTCTCTGCTCGCTTCTCTCTTTTTATATCTCAAAAGAGATTGACTCAAGATACAATCTAATCTTGTAGACTGAGCCTCATTAACATAACTGCCTCTAATTCTGCCTCATTAACATCAAAGAGGTAGGATTTACAACAAATAGGAAAATCACATCAGATCACAAAATGGCAGACAATCACACAATACTGGGAATCATGGCCTAGACAAGTCGACGCACATTTTGGGGAGACACAATTCAATCCATAACAATAACCAATTATAAAATTTTGCTGAATATTTTCTCATAATAGCAACAAAACTTAAAAATATCCAGAAATAAACCAAACAATAAGAACAAACTGGCAAAGTCTTTTTGGAAGACAGTTTGGCTGTATTAGGCCAGTTGAACCATAATAGGATCAGGGTTACGTATGGTTAAAGTCTTTTGATTCTGTTACTTTGTGATTGCAGGAGAAAAGAACAAATATATGTAGGAATTATTTTTATACTAATTATTTTTTAACATAACTGGGAAGTAGTTACTGAGATATGCCCCAATCATTAATAGCTCTCAATAAATGGTACTGTTGCAATAAAAGGGCAAGTGACCAGAGACTCCGTAACTTTAGAGCAGTATTTTTTTTTTAACCTTATTTATTATGAAATATTTAAGGTCTGCAAAAAGGTATAAAAAAATTACATAATATTTGCCCATGTACCTACTTTTAGCTTAAAAAAAAAAGTTATGTATATATTAAAGCTTCCCATATACCCCTCCTGATCACATATTCTCCATCATATAGCCTCCACTTTGAGGTAAACACTATTCTGAATTTGATGTTTACTACTTCCATGCATTTGTTTCTTTTATATCATATATTAATCTAAGCAATACAGTATTGTTCTTCGTATTTTTTGAATTTTATAAAAGTTATTTCATACCAGAAAAAAAATTAAAACCTTGTTTTTAAAATAACCTTCATTTCATCACTGGAAAGTTAAATTGTAGAAAGAGAATGTGCCTCAGGAACAATTCAATAAATGAACAATGCCGTTTTTCAAGTAACATCATAGCAAACTGACAAATTATTTAGAGTTAATAAATAAAAACATATGGAAGAATATTACTTACAGGTGCCTTTTTGTCAATTGGCTTTATAACAAACTTTTTGTCATTAAATGAAATATTTCTTATTTCACTCCAAGGAAAACCAATTTTAGGTGTTAACCTTCAAAAATGAAAACATCCCTTTAATTAAAGACAGCAAACAATGTACAAAACTCCTGACAGCTTTCTGTGGCCAATTTAGCTGAATGAGCATTAACAGTTCCAGATTTTCAAAGCGTACTTAACGTTACTCATAAAAAAATAACTCATACAGTTGGCATTATTTTTCAGGAAAAATATGAAATAAAAACATATAAAACAAAGAATAACTATCTAAAGAGTACATAAATGTGTCATGAACCTTAAAAGCATTATAGTTATTTTCCTAAAATTACCTAGAAAAAACTACCTGGTGACCAGAGTATATAACTGGGCCTCTTGGGGTTTGTACTAGCTTTATTTAGTTTTTAGTCTAAAAATAAAGCTTTTATAGCTTTTCATATGAATTATGGACGTAAGTTACTGAATATTT